AACTTAAATGTTGGATTTAATGAGAGAGAATTGAATGCTTTGAATCTCTTTAAATTACCTCTTTTCAATTCATTTAATATCAAGAACTGATTGCCCTCATTTTTTTATCATAAATTTGAATATAGAGGGGTAAATTCTGCCCTTAAAAAATTCCAGAAATATTCTTGAGGCCATTGRTGCTTTTTAAAGTAGTATAGATTTTTTGTCAAACTAAGCCCTAAGATTTAGTTAAGGAAAATGGTCGAGAGAACTTTACCTTCAGCTGATAGAGTCTCATTGAGTCCATTATTGCTCAAAGATAAGACCTTAAGAGATGTCATAACCCCTATATTTTGAAGAATACTTCTATTGACCGAGGTGGATGCCAAACCTAGGACTTGCAAATTGCTCAAAGCATCTAACACTACAAAATGGAGGAACAATTAAAAGAAATAATAGAGGAGATTCCCAGAATCTATGTATAAGAACACAAATTAAGGAAAGTACTTTGAGTGRTCGCACCTTGAATATCAATTGAGCCATTCAAATTATTCTTACTAAGATAGAGTATCTCAAGAGATGAAAGTGCACCAAGAAATTGTAGAATGCTTGTATCGAAACTATTACCACGTAGATCTAGAACCTTCAGCTTCTTTAGGCTTTTGAGCCCTAAACGTCAGAACAATAATAATTTCAGAAACATAGGTGCATGTAATGAACCAAGGAAACCTACATATATTATAAGAAGATTCAAAATATTTTGATTATTGATTTTATGCTTCCAAGCTTCTGGTTTAGATTGTCGTGAACTTCAGCAGTAGTTGAACTAGAAGAAACAAGCTGGAAAAGACGAAAATAGCCTGAAAAGAGGAGATGGGATCAGGTCCACCCCCCCAGCCATAACTTTTGATCTAGGCACCAAAATGACAAATATGATATAAGGATTATATGTATTTTAATAAGAATTTCTGTTTTATCCATTGCTTTTCGCTATATAAACCTTTAGATTATGTTTGGTTTGATAGGAAATAAGAGAAAAACAGAAAATGGAGGTTAAAACGTTCATAAAATTCTTATGACCTTTACTTCAAATTTCTATTTCTCTCTTACTTTTATCAAACCAAATACAGTATTATGTTTTAGAATTTTATCCCATACAGCACATATATAAGGCTGCAACTTAAAAGTCAGGTTGAGTTGGGCCAAGCTGATGCTCGGGTTAGGGTTAGGGTTGAAATTCATGAACCCAACTTTACTTTGAGTTGCGTTAGGGTTGACCCCTTGGGCAACCTGAACCCAACTCTATAGTACATGTCATATATAAATACATATATTATATATCATATATCATATATAGATTTGCTTAGATGCATGATAGTTGTTTAGCCCCCATCACATACTATCATGTCTTTAAGATAATCACTTCACTTAATCCTAATCCAAAAGACTAAAACCCTAATAACATATTCTATTCTTCCTCTCCTCTCAGTCATTTCCTACCTATAAGTCATAACTCATAATAAACTAGTCATTTCAAATGCTTACTTTTCTGTTTCTTTTTTTTGTTTTACTAAAAGAACTAATAAAAACATCAACAAACAAATACTAATAAAACATAGATCAATATATGTAGTGAAATTTGAATTAAAATATGCGATTGACAAGTTCTACAAGATTTTAAGGAATGGGAAGAAGGTTGGGTTGGGTCCAACCCGAGCCAACCCAATCTGAATTTGGGTTGGGTTGGGTTAGGGTTGAAGGAACTTAGTTAGGTTTAGGGTTAGAGAGATCGGATTGGGTTAGAGTTAGGGTTGGGGTTTAGAACTTAGGGTTAGGCTAGGGTTGGCCCCAACCTGACCTAACCCAGCCCGACTTGCAGCCCTACACATATATATATATTTTCTTAGGAATGCAAATAAGTTGGATCAGATCCAATTTGAATCTGAATCTGATCCGGTAAGAGCCGAATTTGGATACCTCCATTGATCCTAACAAATCAGATCGGACTGGAAAATTCGATTTATTTAGTTAACAGATCGAATTCAGATATACCCCGATCCAATCTGTTAGCTATAAAATATTATATATTATATGTATATGACATATATATTTTACATATTATTTATATAATTATATATATCATATATTATAATATAGTATTCATATTATATCACAAAATTTTTTATTACAATTCTAATCAGATCAGATTCGAATTGGATATCTATTCAATTTCGAATTCGAATCATGTTCTTGAAAATCCTATGGATTGTTATCGGAATCGGATCATTCAGATTTCTCATTGGGTCGAATCAAATATACCCCTTGCCGAATCCGATCCGATCCGTTTCAGCCCTACTTTTTCTTTTCTTGTTTGGCAAGATTAATTCGCTTTAACTTAAATTTTATTTTCTTTCCATAGGGGGGGTTGTGTTTGGACTTTGATGCCACATGTGCATGCCAAATTGACATGTGTGGTATATGGTGTAGTGTCACATATCCTATGGATCATTTATACGTGGGTAAATTACAGATTGCCACTATGTACCCTAGTGGTAGTGACACTTAGCATCCCAAACATTCATTTGTGGCAAATACCAATTAAAGCGGGTTGTGCCACCCTTGGGCTAGTACGACCCAGCACGATATGGATTGTGCTAAGCAAGCCTGGTCATTGTAGCAACCGGGCCATGTCACGGCCTGACCCATATCCCTAGATCATGTTAGGCTTAGGTTTTAAGGCCCACAAGCTAGCATGGCATGGCACGAGAATGTGGGCTATGATAGCATGACCCATGGCCTAGCATGGCACGTTGGCACACGCACCCGCATAGTGGCCTGGCACAGCATGACACAAAAATACCCATATAGTTACTTTTGACCAAAATGTTTATTTTACAAATTTTCTCTTCATATTAACCACTACCCCAAATTCTACCGATTTCTTTTTCGAAATTGATTTATTTTTCAAATTTATCCTTTATATCAATCACACACAAAGGTAAAGCTGCACCTGTAAATTCCTTTTCTTTTTCTCATAAAGTCTGTATTGTTTTTTCTGTAGGAACCAGCCTCAATAATAATTGCATGGTATTTTAGACATTTTCATATCTTTTGTTAGAAGATTCGAACAGAGGGGGTCTACTTGCAACTGTCATAAAGTTCAAGGGATGTGATTGAAATTACCAAACTTCAGGGGGTATTGAAGCAACGGTCAGAAACTTCAAGAAAAGTTTCAGCAATTTGCAATTATTTCAGTTCAATTAATTCATTTTTTAGAAATTTTGGTTTTGGTTTTCAGAATTGAAACATGGTTAACCAAAATAGCCAAAAAATCGAAACGAAAATTTCATTTTTGATTATTTCGATTTTTCTTCAATTCAATTTGTTCGATTTTCATTTTACAATTTTGATTAAAAAACTCTATTTGTTGGTTGAATTTTAATCAATTTAATAAATCAAATACTCACTCCTGTAAATGAGTATAGCTGGTTTTGTCTACTCTTGGGACCCTTGTTGGGTGAGTTGTGGTTCTTGGATGGTTTTCTTCTGTCGGTCCTATCGTGATGGTTCAGTAGGTTTTTTCCTGGTTCTTAAGCTCAGGTAGGTGGTCTTTTCTGTTTTATTTGTATAGCTTTGAGCGTCCACTTTAATTTTTTATTGTTGGCTGTTACTTTTTGTATATCTCTTTCTCCTTTTAATGCAATTTTTGTTTTGCCTAATTGCCTAATTGCCTAATTGCCTTATATGTATGTATAAATCCTTACTTAAAGTATAACCTATAATAACTTGTAAAAAAATCAGGGTAAAATACTTAAATATGAGATCACATCTCCGCCCCACAGCACATCCCGCCTCGTGTATTGGGAATATCTCCCGATAATGATATCAAAACCGATGGTATCATCATCGAGAGATGCTCCCAATTCACGGCGGCGATATGCTGTGGGGCATTGTGAGGCGGAGGTGTAGACTTAAACATACTTTACCACCGTTATGTTAAACAGTTTGATCACACAAAAACAATTTTGCCCTGGCTAAAACATGTATAGGCAGACTCAAACCCTCCTTGTTTTTGAATGWTTTCCCTACGAACTGAATTTAGAAATAAAAATAATCTTAAAACATACTCTCTATGTGGAGAAACACGTGAAAATCCTAATTTGGTAAGAGGATTATTTCAAGTGTCCTATAGCAGTGATTGATCGATATCAATTTGAATGATAAGCATGTTAACGTACAAAACAAACAGATGATTTTCATTTTTTTATAAAATTTCAAACGTAGCTATGGGTTTGCTGGTCACCTTTTTTCTTTTGGCCAATCACTTCTTTGATCGATAGATGGTGAAACTAATTCAAAAGGAATCAAATAAAACTGCCATGGCCCATGGGGGACTGTGCAGGTGGGTGGGAGATAGGTTTTGTCGACTGACCCATTCAGACATTTAGTCGAACAGATAGGGGATCAGCTATTTTCCTCCGATTCAAACCACTTTAGAGAGGTCACCAGCTATTAACAGAAGGGCAAAATTGTTCAAAATTTTAAATAGGTTGCATGATGTCATATTTAATGGTTATTAACGTTTTATTTAGAGAGGTATGTTTAAGTTCCGTGAAGTCAACCCACAAGGTATTTTAATATTATAAAAACACAGGATATGTTAAGTCAAATTATGAAATATGGGCGTAACACAATATAGATCATCAATGAAAAGATAGATCATAAGAATTAATAAAAACACAATATAATTTTTTTTGTCTACAAATACACGAAGTGGATTTTCTCATACCTGCAACGGTTGGGAAACTGCCAATTTCATTATTACCCAGATTTAGCACCTCCAAGTTGATCAAACCAGCCAGTTCTGCACACAACACAAGTAATTAAATGCATAGAAAGAACCACCATTTTATAACTAGTTAATAAAAATCAAGCTAGATTTGAGAGACAAACAACCAAATATATATGCACCTTGAATATGAGTAGATTCAAATATAGCGTTATTACTKAGATTCAAAGATTTAAGGGATGATAGCATCTTCAGAGATGAAAAGACTGTATCATTAAGGGAATTCCAACTTAGATCAAGCACCTCCAAATTTCTCAATCTAGACAATCTCTCGAAACCTGTAGAGCAATTGAGAAAGAAAAACTCATGCCAAACAAATTCAGAGTGGTTAGTTTGCAGATAACATTTGCAATGTGCTCAGAGAAATGTGGTACCTTCATTCTCAACCCAACCAGAAAGCAAACAAGAAGATAAGTTGAGACTCTGTAATTCTTCAAAGGGAAGAAACAAAGAGGCGTTTAGGTTCCAGTCACCCTGCCTTGCTCCGCTAAGTGAAATCTGGATAACTCGCTTTGTTGTGTTGTTACACTTGACACCCTCCCACTCACAACAGTCACCCTCTTCGTCATCCCAAGTTGACAAAGAGGAGCCATCAGGCTGAAAGATTGAAGTTTTGAGTTCCAACAGAGCGACCCTCTCTTTCTCCAGGCACCCATTACTCTTATGAACCTGAAACTCAACAACAAAAGCAAGCAAAACCCAGAACCATAACCACCACCCCATCTTCTGAGTTCGGATTACTACAGTGCTTGTACATACAAGAACTCTCTACCTCCCCAAGCGGGTACACTGCCAGTGCCACCAACATTGCAATCCATTTATGGACCAAATGAACTGAATCATCTTCATCCTAAAATGTCAGACGAAATGTTAGATCCTTTTCAATCATCTGAACCATCCAAATTTGACAATTATTGGGTGTGAAACCATCGACGTAATTGAAGTTGGGTCCACATTTGATCCATCAATAGAGTGTAGGCCACAGAAGTTGCCTAATATCTTCCAATCAGAATAGACATTGTTGTATTCGCGTCGGAAAACAGTAGATGCCTCTTGACCACTGATCAAGTGACCAGATTTCTCTTTCACGATTCACGAGTCATTTTGGTATTTCTTGGTTTAATGTCGGCCCTGAGATATATGCTCTTTAGGTCTGGTCATGAGATGTCATGCTTGCAATGTAATGGTTTGGATCGGTTTGGAACTTCTGGTCGAATCTGGAATCGGAGTGGACTGCCTATCAAGTCTGACTTGATTAAACTAATTAAGATTTATGATGACCCATGATATAAATGGATACTAACAATTTAAATTTTTAATTTTGATAATATAACCTTAAAAATACACAAAAATAGTAAACTATTTATATGTTTTTTTACTAGAAAATAAAACAAGTGTTTTGGCCAAAACTATATATTTATCTACTATCCTTAAAAGTAGAACTGATGTATCGGTTTCGGTTTTTGATATATTGTTCCGATTTTTATAAGGTTGGAACCAATCCTTTTCATAGGCCACGTTGAGCTGACAGAATACATTCAAGCCCGATCTGACCATTGGGCTTAGGTCTTGAGCCCGAGCCCAACCCTCATATAAATTCTGAAACTTGGGTCCAATCCCAAGCCTAGTCAAAAATTTGAAAACAGGTTTTTTTTTCTTTTTATTCAATAAAAAAATGTTTTATTTATATTAAAATTCCTCAAAACCCAAAAATAATATTGCAATATATTTTTTATATATTTTATTATATAATATATATTATGAAGTCGGGTTCGGGTTGGACTTCACGATACCAAACGGTCATGGACTTCACCAGGAGTGTTAGCATCCATTAGTGTTCTTTTTACAATCACCAGGAGAAAGGGTCATGGACTTCACGATACCAAACGCCCCAGTAAACCTTCGGCTAAATACCGGAAAGATAGCAACCAATCAAATGGTTTTATCTTAAAGACTGGAGCAACACAAATTAAAATTTTTTTAAGAAAGGTTGTTATTTATCAAATTGATGGAGGATTTTGATTGGTTAAAGTTATTTTGATATTTGGTGGTATGGTTTTTACTTTTTTTTTTCTTTTCATTTCACTTATTGTAGCACGCTTGGTGAGGGTCAAAAAGCTGTCAACAATTGGATAAGAAATTTTGGATTAGGGATTATAGATTTTACACTAAAAATAAAGTCTCAATCAAATGGGTTTTATCTTAAAGACTGGAACAACACATTAAAATCTTTTTAAGAGAGGTTTTCTAATCTTAAAAGACAAATTTCATTCATAAATGGTTAGACTATGCAAGCCAGGAAAAACGACCAACAACAATAAAAGAAAGGATAAATTTCTTATAGTTTAGTTAATTAACTAAGTGTACTCTTACACACATGCGTCCTCTGGGCCGGAACCCCGGAACCCCACTCTCTCCATTCTCAGACCTCCACCTCTGCCTCTGTTTCTGGTCTCTCTCTCCTTCTTCATGGAGGCGAACGATTGAACCAGAAGTTGCAGGTTGAACGACAATTCCCGATCAGGTACACGGCGGCGGAGGAAGTTGCAGCGGAGCGGAAGTGACAGCATCATCTCTGCTTTATCTCAGCAGGGAGACGGTGCTTCATCTCATTCCAGCAGCGGAGCGGAAGTTACAGATGCTTTATCTCATTCCAGCAGTTGCAAGTTGAACGGCAATTCCCGATCAGGTACACGGCGGCGGGGAAGTTGCTTTATCTCACTCCTCTCTCTCTCAGCTTCTCTCAATGTGAGTTGCAGGCGAGTATCCAATACCGGCCAAGGCATCTGTCAAACCAGATTGAGAAACCATCATGTTTCTGTTACAGTTGCAGCTGCAACTGAAGAAGGGGTCGTTTTTGAATTGCCTGGAATATAGTTGTTTTCAAACTTATATCAGTTCAAAAGATGGTCTGTTAAGCAGTTGGCTAGTCTGTCAGTCCAGTTGTAATGGTTGTAATGCCAACTATATTAACCGCACTAGTTAGAAGCTCGAGTTAGTTTTTTGGTGGATCAATCCTCTCCCTCCTTTTCTCTCTCTTCCCTTTCCTTCCCTTCTCCCCTTTCCTCTCTTCCGTTCTCTTTCATTTCCTTTCCCCTGCAACTCGTTGAAACCAAGCTGTAACGGGGAAACCGAATATAGGTCGATGGCGACTGAAGGAAAATAGACAAGTTGTAGAGTTTCTGGGAAGTCTCTGCCATGGTGGCTCGGTCTGACGAGTTCTGGGGTGAGAGTGAGAGACCCCATGCGCTTTTATAAGCTCAAAACCGCAGACGCAGAGGCCGTGAGAGAAGGAGATGAGTGAGAAAGGTACTGTAACTCATTGCAACAGCACTCCTCTGTTTTCGTTTGAAGGGGGGTCATCGCTGCCACCGCTGCAATGAACACGGCATATTGCCTTCTAAATTTCTCGCTCTCTTTCAATACCGACTTCATGGACGTGAAACTGATCGCTTTCTCGTCATTGCCGCAATTGAAACTGATCTCAATCTCTCCCCTGCTCCTCTATCATCCCATGTTCGCATATTAGCTTGGCGTTCATCAGATCAACACCCGTGGTTTACAGCGTTCATCTCTCGCAAGGCCTCTTTTGCTTTATCCGCCATCAAATCCGTACAGATCAAGGGGTTTTCATTGTTGCCGTTTCATCCCTTTGCATTATCCACCATCAACTCGACGGTGCTCATTGTTGCCATTATTATCAAAGGGGTTTATAGGTGCAAAAATGATAGAGATACGAGTGCTGAGATCTTCTAAGAGCCACTGAGTTTGAAAAAAGATAAAATAATTTTTTTGTCACTAACAGTAAAGAAAATATTAATCTAATAGAGATAGTGTTAATCAATTTTCAAACAATAAAGATACACTTAGTCAATTAACTAAAGCATAAGTATAATTTAAAAAATTTACCCTTTATTATAATATTCAAAAGTCAGAAATGCCTCTTAAAAGTTAAGGAGACCGGAATTATATGACGTAGTAAACGATTATTCGCAAATGCAGAAGATTTTCTATATATGTTTAGTAGTATTCGCAAATGCACTATATATGTTTAATTAGAAGAAAACATGCTTAACTCCACTCTTAGTCTCTTAGAAAAAGATAGGCATAGGCTCCATATAAATCATTGGTTATAAATTTAATTTCCTAAATTAAATAAGAAATTCAATCAGATTTATCACACAAGTGGTGAATCTCAAACAAAATAAAAAGGACAATTTCCCCTTAATTAGTACAAGGTGATCATTCATAGTACCCCATGTAAATGGAAATTTAGAGTCCAGACGATGAGCAGCACTTGATGCTTCTGCTCATTTTTCTTTTCTTTTTTTTTTTTGTTTATTTGGTGATACAAGGTTCACACTAATAACTCCTCTCCCCAAAAGTAAGTGGTTGTGGAATCGAACATGCTGGAATAAACCAGCTAATATACCAATTGAGCCACCTTTCATTTCCTTGTAAAATGTTTGTAGGGTTGCAAATGGTTTTAATTCATTCAAATTCAAATCCGATTGACTTTAGTTGGATTTGAAGATCTATTTAGATTTTAGACATAATCTGATCAATTGGATCTGAAATTATGATATGCCGAATTTAGGATTCACATAATAGCCCACTTTTACAGACTGCCCACACTGTAGCAAGCCGTGCCTTTCAGACCCGGAACCCTCAAAAGATAAGCCCAGCAGGGCTTGCGGCATGAGCCCAAGAGGAACAAGCCACGCTGGGTTGGGCCGTAGGTGACACAATTTCTTTAGAAAGTTTGAAAAAATTGAAAAAATTAAAATAAATTAATAATACAGACAAGAATCTGAATTAATTCTATATATATTTTGATATATACAATTGTTTATATATATGAAATAATAAAATTAAATTAAAAAAAATTACAATATATATAGGACGTGGGCACGGGCCTCAAAACCCAAATCTGGTATGGCCCAAGGGCATGAGCCCAGCCCAATTACTATAGTGAAGAGCCGTGCTGCATATGGGCGACACAACCCACTTTACAGAGCAACGGGAAAGGTAAGATAGCGGAAAAATCATTGACCAATTAAATATATCCATATCCACAAAAACAAATGAATGGAATTTGAGTCTACGTTTCTGTGGGATATTGGATGAGGGTGTTATTAGTATGCATAGATAGAATGATAACCTTTACACGGTTAATATGGAGTTTTCAGTAAAATAAGCCCGATGGAGAAAAAGAGAACTCCGAATACCGAATGTTTAACAAATAATGACATGACTCGACAAATGGCCATCTATGCATACAAGTTATCACACTTCTAACAGTTGAGAAATGGGGAACAGCTCAAAGTTTTAAGATTCCTTTAGAAACAATCTGAAGCCTTTCTTTTTTTTCCCGCTCATTGAAAGGTATTTTTTTCTTGTTTTTTTTTTTTATTATATAATACACATTTCATGGAATCAGCAGTGGGGCAGAGCAGAGTGCATCAGTATTTTCAACCCGCCATTGATCAGACTGTTGAACCATTCAAACTGTTACCTGGTCATAATTTGACCAAAAACCAAAGACTTGGTCAAAATACATTCAACCCATCACACTAGGTCATGGATTACACACTACTTTAAAGGCTATAGCTTTATGCTCAGTTGTCCGAGTGATTTGTATGTTCAATTGGACCAAAAAACTTTTTTGACCTCAAATACTCATTTTTAGCAGTTTTTCTAAATAACTAAAAATTAAAAACTAAAATAAAATATATAAACTAAACATAAAATAATATATATATACATATATTATATAAAATATAATTATAAATCATTTTATTCATACATACGTACATAAACATAAAATACTGAGGTTTCACGGTCTAACCTGTTCAACCCTAACATTTGAACCAATGACCCGCTACTTAGAGGCAAAAACAGTTCAGCCTGAGTCAGTTTTTAAAAACATTAGGGTGCCATGCCAAATAATCATCTTTGCTAATACTGGGTTATCGGCAGTCGAGAACCATGGACAGCTATCAACAATTAAAATTTAAAGCCCCGTTTGGTTCACAGGAATGGGTTATTCTGATAGCAACTGTTTGGTTGGGTAGAATCAAAATCACATTCCCATTCCTATTTAAATGGCATTCCCCCATTTGATGGAATGGCCACTGCCCCTCCCTTGGAAATGAAATCCCATTCCAGCTTATTGCAATTCCCATTCCTGAACCAAACAGACTGGGAATGGACCATTCTGATTCTGATTCCGATTCCGAGTCTGATTATGAATCAAACGGGCCCTAAGTTTTAAAAAATATATAAATATTATCCTCTGTTCAAGTAAAGAGGATTGACTAAAAACCAAGGCATTTCCACTCCACTCAATAATCGCACTGTAAATTTTCTTTCTTGACAAAGATTCTTCAGATTACAGATTCAAGACAATCCTTAAATAATTGCCTGCTTACTGTGAGAGAGAGGGGGGGAAAGAGAATGCAGCTCTGCAAAAGGGCAGTACATTGCATAGGTCATCCAGCAAGATGGAAATGCAGAAAGGCATTTATGATTTCAACCAGCCTGGCCCAATTCGTCCCTTCATGATCAGACCATGCATCCAAGCTTATGAAAGAACTAGTTAATTGGGTTTCTCGTGCACGCTGGGGTGCTGTTGAAAGATCCAAATTTTATATTAACCAATTCGACAAATCACTTACCTAGTTTACTGGGATATACTGGCCGTTCTACACCAACTGGCTGGTTGGTAAGATTTCCTGCTGGTTGTAGCGGAGACTTGGGATGAAATCCCGCATGCACAAGGATTGGGGAGTTTATGGATTTGGGAGCAAGTACCATATATTCTTAATAAGGGCCAGGTGCTATAGATCCGCTTAGCATGTAGGTGGTTCCAAAGCCCAAGTTGTGGCTAAATGGGCGATACTGAATGATGCAAATTCTAGCACATCCGTGGTTTTGGGTGCCAAGGATTCAATCAGCAGCAAAAAATTTGATACTAAGCTCTAAGCCATTACTATTCACAAGAACCACATAGCTGAAGTTTAATTACAATGCCTACTCAAGTGATAGCCATGAATTACAAGAAATAAGAGTGATGAAACCCCGTATAAAAAGGAAAAGTAATAAAACTGCTTTATAAATATTATGCATAAAGTAGAAACCAAACAGCACAAGGAAATAATAGGACAAAAGAGAGGTAGAGTAGGTTAAGTTAGCTGAAAACCCATACTTCCAAATGCGCAAGTGGTGAAAAAAGAATATAAAGAATAAGGGTCTTTTGCCTTCATTGTGTTGTTACACTCTTCGCTAAATTCCGTGGCTGGTCGACGTTGTATCCCCTTAGAACAGTAAGATGATATGCCAACAACTGCCAAGAGACAGATGGTAAGTTCAAAATTCATCAAAGAATGTTACAACAAAAAAGAAAAAGCATAAGATTCTCCATAAAATTACATATGTAGGCTTGCATTTGGGCTAATATAGATATCACTGACAATTGTGGAGGAACAATTTTCAATTTGCTCCACAAGAAATGAAGAATTCAACTAGTAAGCCATATGCTGAAGATTTTTTCACACCAAAAAAATAATTCCTGAATTTAATATCATATATAATTATCTTAAAAAATAAAAGATAAACACAAACATGATAATAAAACAAATTTGTAGTCAAGTAGTCATTGATCAACATAATTAACACTTGATCATCACAAGAATCTGCATCATTGGTATGGACCAAACTAGTGAATGATGCAGGCTGTATTGCCCTGAACAGATAACCCAGTTTTAACTAGTCATGAGTAGTCTATGCTTTAAAGCACTGTAAGGAACTGAAATGAGTTTGCATGCCATGACATTGTCCCAGCAAAACTTAGCCGCATACTGTTCAGAAGACTTTGGCTGTTTTGACTTGCAACATGATAGTTGTATAAATACATATAAATTTGGTCAAACTCAGGCTAAAAGAGAGAAGATTAAACCAGAAGTAAAAAACGCAGTACTTAATATATGACAATTTCAATAAATTGGTGTCATCTACACCCTAGTTACCAGCCAATCCTTGGCAAAATGGAAAAATATAGGACTGACAAGCATGAAAACGAGGCTTTGTGTCTAAAAGCAGCCACTTCATGCAAAACACAAAAAGAATGCCATAGGTTCATATCCAATCCCTCCCAAGATCCTGGATAGCCAGGAACATCATTGGGAAATGGCCCCTCTCTACACCTTAGTGACCAGTCAACCAACCGATAGCAGAATCTGAAGGACACCCACCAGAAACAGTAACTTAAACTCCCAAGTTTACAGGTTTCATTCCAGAGGTTTACTGGATTATGGGCCCATCCACTAGGTTCAGAAAAAGCAAAAAAAATAAAAATCAAAATTTCAAAAGTCACACACCTGGGCTGAGGCGCAAGGCGCATCAAGCGCACACCTAGGCACACCATCCATGCGCCTTTTGAATAATAATAATAAGAACAACAACAACAACAGCAGCAGCAGCAGCAACAACAACAACAACAACAATAATAATAATAATAAGTTTTTTGTTTCATCCAACATTCCAGCATCATCCTAGCAACATTTCATAAACCCCTGCGCACCTTATACCAAGAAAATAAAACACGAGAAGACTGTCTTTTCAACACATCTAACAAATATACAAGGTTTACTATGCAATGATTTCAATGAGTAAAACCAATCCTGGGAAAAGAAGTGCACAATATAGGCAAAGAATCCACTCCAAGTGAACATCCATGCACATAGAAAACTTAAAGCCATTATCCAATGTTGATCACAGCTAGATGGGATCTTTTTTAGGTAATAAATAAAAGAGAAAAATATATTAAGAAGAAGAAAGTACTGAAGTACAATAATAGGTGATAAGAAGTCACCAACAAAAAAGGAAAAAGTGACCCCTGAATCCAACCCTTAAAATGCAAAACCCCACAATCCCCCTTAAATTTGACTTTCAACTCCCCTCCCCCCTCCCCCCATATTCCAACACCTCTTCCCAGTCTCCAAGGGACAGAAAAGTAACTAAATTCAATTAGAGTTGCCTTCTCCTACAACTGTCCCTTTCTTCTTGAAGAACTGGGGCCTTGGGAGGGGTAGACTGGATACAGTCCTAACCTTCGACATTCTTTTGTACAAGTGGCTTCCCTCAGACTCAAACCCGCATTCTCATGCTTGCCAACCTGAGATTTCACCATTAAACCAAATAATGGCCCCCATGCACAAAGAAGGCATGACATGGGTTCTGTATGATGACTTGTATAAGAATGAATTACAGTGATTTTCCAGCCTGAGATGTCTTTTCAACACATCTAACAAATATACAAGGTTTACTGTGCAATGACTTCAATGACAAGTTCTGTCTGACTATCTCATCCCACTGGGAACCAAAACCAATCCTGCCAAGGGAATATTCTAAAGATGCAGGTGTGATTTGCAATTGATTGCCTGTTCTTAGAGGACATGAGTGTCGAGGGGAAAGATTGCCAGCGTTCCACAACAGTGCCGGAGAAAGGCATTTCAGGTTTGGAGCAGACTGTCTTCTATTGGTTTTTGTCTCAAATTCTGATTTGTTTCTGGGGGGATATGGAAGTGGCAGTGAATCCAATGAGATATTCTTGAAAGACTTAAGGTCTTGAACAGAAGTTTGGTTGGGCAATTTGTGAATTCTGATGCAGATGTAGAAAGTGTTGGTGACTGGGTGAGCACTGCATGGCATCCAAGTATGCCATTCCAGGTTAGGAAGCTGAATTCCGGATTTTTTTCTCTTCACATTCAGTTGTGAAGCAGAGACGAGCGATATTTTGAGAATAACAAAACCAGTTTCGCTCTCCAGAGCTTAGAATCGGACATTGGAATCCTCTGGTTGGCACTATCAGGAATCTGGGTCACACAAACTTGGTAATGGTTAAACATTTTTGGAACCCCTTTGCACATCTGATCCTTCCAAACCTTTAAAGCTGTGAGGAATGTTTGTGGGAGATACAGATTTGTGGATTCTCGAACAATTTCCTGGAGGAATCTTGCTGTTGCTCGCGTTCTAGTTGAAGTCGACGACATTCATTCGGCCCCATCTTCTCTTGTCCTCCAATTTGCTGGTGAATGTTACGATTTAAGACTTGTAGTAGAAGGCTTCCAAACCTTTAAAGCTGTGAGGAATGTTTGTGGGAGATACAGATTTGTGGATTCTCGAACGATTTCTTGGAGGAATCTTGCTGTTGCTCGCATTCTAGTTGAAGTCGACGACATTCATTTGGCCCCATCTTCTCTTGTCCTCCGATTTGCTGGTGAATGTTACGATTTAAGACTTGTAGTAGAAGGCTCGTATCCATCGAGATGGGTTGAAAATTTAGACTTAAGAAGGGAGGAAGTGAGTAGGAATTCACAGTATTTTTCTGGAAATGGCGGGAAGATGAATAAACAGGCTGAAGGACTCGAGGTTGAAGGACATTTTTGGAATTACAAAGAGTTTGTACTGCTGGAGACAGTTTGATGGATTGCAATAATTATAAGGGTAAATTTCCTAAACTACCCTTATGGTTTAGCTAATTGACTAAGTGTACCCTTACTATTTTAAAATTGACTGACGCTATCCCTACTGTTTCTGACAATTGACTAGCTCTACCCCTACTGTTAGCATCCGTTAATACTCCGTCACGATCTATGCACATGTGACTCCACATGACCTATAAATTTATTTTAAAACCCAATATTACCCTCATCCCCTTCATTTCAACATGGCATCGTTTGGAAAACCTGCTCCAGCACCCACTGAACATTGATCCTCACCGTCACAAAAACCCAAAGGCACATTATCGATGAGGTCACCTCACCCGTGACAGTTCCCAACACCTGTGACTATTTTTGCCTCTTGCGTAAATTCAATTCAGCTACTTTCTCACTTTCTTCCACACTCACGGCTCTCAGACTCATCAGAGTGTTTTATCTTCTTCCTCAAATCCCCTGAAGTTTTTAAGAAATGCCCCTGCAAACAAGGAGGACGAGGTTTCCTTTTTTTATCAGCAGCAAAAATACAAATTAGTGCCTAAAATTGAATCATTAGATCAAGAAGCAATGGAAAAAGTAAGTACAGGGCGATTTGAAATCTTTGGGAAAAGCTCCAGAAACCTTTCTTTTTAAGAAAAATAAGCAAAAAAAAAAGAAAAGAAAACATATATCTTTTTTTTTCTTCGTTGATGATAGAGTAACAGAAAATGGAGATCACAGTCCTACAGAGGTCCCTACACAAACTAGCCCCCCTTCTTCCATCCACAAGCTACTATCCCCTTTGCCTACTCATCGTCATCTTCATCTCCACTCTCATCTTCGTCCTCCTCATCATTCACTTCAGACTTCAACTTGTCCGACTCTTCTTCTTGTTCAGCTGTATTTGCTCCTTCGGCCTTCTTCTTGTTGTATGCCTGAAAGCTCTTATTGTACTCACTCTTCCTCTTCTCTGCTTTGGCTACATATGGCGCCTACTTGGCTTCCGTCATCGATTTCCATTTGTCTCCACCGGCTTTGCCAACAACAGAGACTGATTTGTTGTTAGGGTGTTTCTCCTTGTACTGCTTCCTGAACTCTTCCATAAAACGAAAAAGGCACTTGCAGGCCTTTTAGGTTTGTTAGGATCCTTAGCTGCCTTCTCCTGCTTCCCTGCTTTCTTGCTAACTTTATTGGCTCCGACGCCTTTCTTCTTTACAGAAAGCTTGTTGTCTGCCTTTTTAGTTTCCGCCTTCGATTTACCTCCTTTCATGGTGAATCCTCCTTAGGGTTAGGGTTTCACAAGGAGTGAGTCAGAGATAGGAGATTATCGTTTGATGTGTTATGTTGCGTGTGTGTGAGAAGGGGAGGAGGACAAGGTTTCCTAGAGTAGTTATAGAGAGGGACACAGATACAGAAGAAAGTTCATCCGAAGAAGAAGAGGAAGAACAGGGAGTGGTGGAAGAAGATGTTACCGACAACGAGAATGGCGAAAAAGTATAGAGAACCCTCGTTGCTTCCCACTTGCCCCTGTTTCAGATCCGAAGACTTAGACGACGAAAGTTTCATTTTGAAAATTTGAAGAAGAATAAAGGGCAAAATAGTATTTTTGTCTTTCTGTTAACAGACACTACTGGTAAGGGATGTATTAGTCAATTGTCAGAAACGGTAGGGATAGTTTTAGTCAATTTTGAAACAGTAAGGGTACACTTAGTCAATTAGCTAAACCATAAGGGTAGTTTAAGAAATTTACCCTAATTATAATACTAGTAAGTCTTTGGGAAATGAAGTAAGTGGTGGGGCACATTCGGTTTTGCTCGAGAAAAGTATTGAAATGGGAGATTCTTTCGAGGGAGGAGGTGGTAGGGAG